CCTTTCTTGAGGAATGAGGCTGGCTCTTTGTTTTTCCCAGACAAGAGAATTTTTATCAAATATCTACTCTGATAATGCATTTCTAACACTGTAAAACAACTTTACAAGTGCTGGCACACAGTAGACACTCACTCTTTGTTGAGTGTTGCCAGATGGATACAAAGCATGTTTATATATATGCTGTGTAATCGTCGTCATAGAATCACAAACAGTTCTCCTCACGTGACTGATGCAGGAGGTGAAGCTGAGATCAGGGAGGCAGAGGAAGCCCCACTTTGTCCAGTCTGGCGTCATACTGCAGCCTATAGAATGTGACACTGTAGACATGAGTCTTGGTGTTGCATGCGAATGTGTAATGGAGGTAAATCTCTGAGCTGCTTATTAGACCTCTTTACACCTGGCCTGTATTGTCCATTCTTCCCACAGTAGCCAGGATTTAAATTGTGTCCCTTTCCTACCTGAAGATCTCCATTGTCATCCCATTGCACTTACAGTAGAATTCCCAGTTCTTACCACGGTCTGGAGTAGCCGACACAATCCGGCCCTGGTCTGCGCTCTTATCTTGCCACCTGCACTCTCCCCACCCTTTATTGCTCTTCAGCCACACTAACCTTTCTGTTCCTTGAACAAGTCAAGCTTGTTCGTGTCTCATGACCTTCGCACGGGCCGTTCCCTCTATTTGGAGTCTACATTTCTAAGTCACATGATTGCCCCCGCCAATCTATTACTGCTCCTCCATGTCACTCTATCAAATCACCCAGTTTTGTTTGCTTTATAGCATTTACCAATATCTGAAATTATTTTGTTTCTTTACTGTTTCCTCCCACACTAGATTATGTGCTGCACAGCAGTAGGCCTACGTCTGCTTTGCTCAGTGTTGAGGCGTCAGTGCCTAGAATAGAGAGCCTCCCGATATGTATGAAATGACCAGAAGAATGGATAAATCAATCTTTAACATTCCTCTTCTGTAAACTGGGGAGAAATGTTTTATAGGCGTGTTAGCTGGTAGGTACACTGCCTTTGCAGGTAAGATCGTTGCGTGGGACACAACAGCCCNGTGTTAGCTGGTAGGTACACTGCCTTTGCAGGTAAGATCGTTGCGTGGGACACAACAGCCCCCTTCACATAATGCGTGCTCAGGGTAAGGTCTGGAGTTTGTGATCACCCTCCAAGGGGTCCACAAATGTGATGGGGTAATCCGTGTAAGAAAGGCATTGTTGGGCTGACCGGTTAGCTCAGTTGGTTAGAGCACAGTTTTGATAACCCCAAGGTCAAGGGTTCAGATCCCCGTACCAGCCAGCCGCCAAAAAAAAAGAGAAAGGCATTGTTCACCCATTGGACCACTGGAGCAGAGATGGGGTTGAGGGTGGAAAAGGCAGTAGTCTGCCGAAAGTCACATACTTGCTGAGGGTTGGGACCCAGGATCCAGAGCCACCAGCAAGACCTAACCAGCCCAATTGAGGCATCCTGACTGGAGAAGGGGAAGTGGAGCCCTCCTCCCACCCAGATCGTTCTGGAGAAATCTCTCCCCCTTCTCCCTCACCAAGCCACCTTTATTCTATGCTCAGCCCTTACATTCTTCCTTTGATCGTCCTGCCTGGCGCTATTACTTCTGTGGAAGCCCGCCTAGAACCGCCCCTCCCTTCAGCTGCTCTCCTGGCCTTTCTGCTGAGGGTGGCGTGCCAGCTGGTACAGGGGAAGCAGGTTTCTTACCTGCTACCCGTGTGCTCCTCTGGCCCTCTTCCCTGAGCGTGAGGGAGGATCAGATCATCCCCAGGCAGAGGTAGCAGTGAGGAGGCTGTTTGTGATGTTTTTCTGGCAGCCAGGTCTGTGCCACCATGCATATTCAGATTACAACCCAGCGCCACTATTTTTTTCCCTGAAAGATGCATCCACCTAAGTTTAAAATTAATAGGGTCTTGAATCCAAGAACTAACATGTTTTGGCAATTTCTGAGTACACATGATGGAATTAGGGTATGGGATGGCTCTCAGCTTGAGGGCCATCATCCTTGTCCTTTAAGCCTCTGTCCCTCTGTCATGTGTCCCAGCCCCAATCCCAACCCCATGCTTACTTCTCTCACGTTTTTTGTCATCCTTTGTAGTAACTTGTCCTGTCCCCTAGGCTGTGAGCTCCTTG